GGGAAAGAAGCAGAGTAGGGTCTAAGGGGAAGAGGAAAGGCTGGGCCAGGGATAGGGGCAGGCCAGGGGGCAGGCCCACAATATCTCACCGAGTATGCGTGATGCTATCAAGCCAATAAGGAGACGCAAATAATGACTGCCAGAATAAGGACAGTGATGGACACACAGACGGCAATCAACACTTTCTTCTGTGGGAGAGGAAGGGGTCAGGGAAACTCACTCAGGAGGGGAGGAAGGGCCACCCAGGGCCAGGGAGGGGAGGGGAGGCTCACCTTCCGAGCTTTCTTCTGGTTCTCTAGGGCCATCCTGACATGTTCCTGTCCACGTTCCACATAGTCTGCTGAGCTCAGAATATTCTTCTCAATTCGGTTGATCATCTCCCCCTGCTCAGAGGAGGTAGCAGTTCAGGTAGGTAGGGATGGCTGAGGGGAAAGGGCCCAGTAGTCCCCTCTGCCCACCCCAGCCCCAAATGACCAAAGGACACTCCTGGCAGAAAACACCGCACGAACAAAGATATGGAGGCAGGACCACATCTGACACAAGTTCACACTCCTGAGGTTAGCTCCCAGGCCTCCTCCTATCATGTGGTGCCTTCTGCCCTGGTCTCTTGCTCCATACAACCTCTATTTGCAATGGTGTCTTAGAGCCAAGTGCCTTAAATGGCACAATACCTTTTCAGAGAGGGTGAACTCCCGTCCCCTCACAAAATTGCCTGAATTTGCCTGTTCTTCTAGGCCTGTCTCCCAGCAGCTGTGAAGCCCTTCCCATCCCTGCCTCCTCATGGCACTGCCAACCTCTAGGTTCTGGTACTCTTACTGAATGAAATCCCTTCTCTACAACTCCCAACTATAAAAGGGCATTGGCTGCAGCACTGGTGGGTCAGCTTCTCCAGGACAGGGATGGAAGCTCACCTCACTCCATACAACCAGGCTAGGGCAAGAATACCACTTACCACCCAACCCTGTATAGGTTTTAGGCAGCAACTTTGACTGGAGCAAATAGAAGAATAAGGGTAGATTCTAATAGTGAGGAGGAGCCAGGGTTGGGGCCATACCTGGAATGGGCTTAAGTTGGTGAAGGAGGAATGCTATCTACAGAGGAGTGGCCAGTGGGGTAGCTGTGGAAGTGGATGTAATTCTGGGACACTGCTAATGATGGAAGTAAGTGCCAGCCCTGGGGGTATGGCCCAGCCTGAAGGGGACTAAAAGCCTCAGGGAGAGAGGCTAAGGGTGAAGGCAGGCTGACAGTCACAGCTGGGGTTCTAACTGAACATGGTCTCACAACTGGGGTCTGGGTCAAGCCCAGCCGGCTCCTTGGGGCGCTCACCTGCATCTCCACTTCAGTAGCCAGAAAAGTGAAGATCTCATGAAGTTCACGAATACTGCGTTCAAGTTGCTGGATTTCACTATGCCGGGCTGAGATCTCATTTAGGGCCTGTCGAGTCACCTGCGTGTCCTTCAGTATCTGGGGAGTACAGAAGAGTGGAGGGACATGTAACAGGAAAACCAGCAGCAGGTCAGACATTCCTGTTGAGCTTTGGGGCAGCTCTTTGGCTTAGAACTGGGCCAGGACCCTGCTGAGTGGTCCTGGAAAGTACATTTGTTTCATTCTGAGCCTCGGTATCCCCTCAATCAAGAAGGACCAGGGCTTGGAGAGGATAGGAGGCACAGCAGAGGGAGACCAGCTGTGGCCACTCACATTGGACACAAACACCTCACTTTGCCCGCTGTCCAGCATCTGCTCCAGCTCCTCATCAGACACCATTCCAGCATTTGCTGTGAAGGATAAGGCCAGGTTCAGAGCCCAATCAGATTACCACACCCTGTGGGCCAGGCACAACAACTCACTGATCTTCAGCTGCCTCCGAATCCGCTCCACATTCTTCTCCCGGTATTCAGACTGCATGGAGTTGCACTTGTTGATGAGCTCCACGAATTGCTGGGACAGGACCCCATGCTAAAGATGGAGAATATAGGCTGGGCATCCCCGGGAGGATCCCTGCCCAGTCTGGGCCTGAGCATCCCTACTGGCACAGTGAGCAAACAGCATGAGCGATGATAGATGTCCGTGCCTTAACCATCTTGAAACGCTCCCCCATTCTCTCAAAGCAAAAGCTACAGCCTTACCAGGGCCTTGACCTGCTCCTCCCCCATTTCCCCTCTGACCTCACCTCTGGCCACTGTCCCTCTCTTATTCCCTCCAACCACAGTGGGCTCCTTCCTGCTCCCTGAACAAAGCATACCCCTATCTCAGGCCTTTGCACTCTCTGCTCCTTCAGCCTAGAATGCTCATGCCCCACAAAGGCCTTTAGATCTGCTCCAATGCTACCTTCTGAACGAAGTTTTCTCCACCTTTCGCAATTGCACCTGTCTTCTTCCAGCCCTCTGAACTCTTCTTTCCTGCACCTTTTCCTTAATACTTAACAATGTTCTAAAAAACTGTATTTATTGTGATGATTGTCTCTCCTCACTAGAATGTAAGATCCATGACAAGAGAGATCTTTGGTTCACTACGGTATCCCAAACAGTGAGCATTTAATAAATACTTGTTGAATGCTTGCTGAACACCAGCCGCACTACTCAGATTAGACATGTGCTAGTATGCCTGGAGTTCAGCCTGTTGCCCAGATTTTACTGGTCCCGCTGGGTCCTCAGCCTCTCACACTGATGACCACCACAGGTTCCCCCTGGAAATGCCCTCTCACCTTGTCCAGTTCCCTGATGCCTTATTCCTTAGAGTTCTTTTCTCAAAGACACAACTGCTCTCCTGGCTTCAGCTACACCCTTTCAAGATATTCACACTGTTCCATCTTCGATCTGGGCTCTTTACTGAGCTCTGGGCCTACCTACTCCAATTCTGAACTCCAAGAACTCCTCACTGGGCCCCCAGAGAGAGCCAGTCAGATCACTTCAAATCTCCTTCCTAAGATGTTGATCCAGTGACCCTCTCCCATTGCCCCCTCCAAAGAAGTTCCTCTTTCTGACATCTTGAATTCTGCTCATAGGGCAGAGGATGTCCCTGTCATCTGAGCAGGAAACCTCCCAATCATTTATGACTGCTCCCTCTTTTTCCCTGGGCAGAGCCATTAGCTACCAAGCCTTACCTAAGTAATGTCTTTGTCACCTATTCAAGCTTAAGTCCATATCTTGGCTCCTAGAAAGCATGTCTCCCACAGCTGAGCCCAGATTATATCTAGAGACTCAACGACTTCTCATTGAATGGAAGAGAAGGCAGGGTGTTAAAATGGAATGGGAATCAGGACAGTGCCTGAGAGAGCCAGTCAGATCACTTCAAATCTCCTTCCTAAGATGTTGACCTTGGGTGAGTCTTTTCTCTCTCTGATCCTCAGTTTCCCCATTTGGAAAATCATCAGGTTGGACATGCTCTCCAAGCACCTTCTTATTCTGTCATCTAATGATCTATAAAACACTTGCTGGAATGTCCTAGTTCTGGGAATAACAAACCCACCTGGGTTTTTCTCATTCTCATGTTGACCGAATAATAACTCTCATCAGCTTCCTCCTTCTGGGGCTCTATGGCTGTGGGAAGACACAAGGGTATTGTGGGGAAAGGGGTATTACCTGTGGCTTCTGAAAATTGTTTGGGGATCATGACACAGAGCCAAGGCCATATCCCAGCTACACAATAGACGGGTGCTTATCTCCATAGGATTTTTAAAGGAAATATAACATCATTAAATGACCGATTCTGAGCCTCTGACATGTGAAAGTATATTTTTCTTTGCAATACATCAGAGAATTTCCACAGGTATGCAGAGGCCTCCTAACGAAACCTCCATCTGCCAGCCCAAAGAATTCACACTGGGCAGCAAGAATTGTGGCAGTAAATGATTTCACAGTAATAAAGGAACCCGAAAAGCAGGCATGTGCTGTGTAAAGTACTATGCACTGGAAGCCCGGAGACAGAAATTCTAGACTGCTATGTGACCTGGATATACCGTTGGCTTCTCTGGGCCACTCACTCTCCAGATATATCAGGAGCAGCGCTGAGCCAGAGGGAAGGAGGTTCTAGGAACTTACCCTTCAGCTGCCCGCGGATCTCCCTCCCCAGCTGTTTGATCTCCTCGCGCAGGTTCTGCAGGTCCTGCTTCATGCCTGAACGAGAGAAAGTAGTCCCTGTATCAATAAATCTTCCTGGCCACCACCTGCGTGGAACTGCAATCCCCACAATCCCTTTGGCTGAGCATGCGTTCTGCACCTAGGATTGCACTCACTCTCCTCGGGAAGGGGCGTGGCCAGGATGGTGACCTGCTGCTTCTCCAACTCTCGGACTTTATTCTCCAGCTTGACAATAGTTTGCCGAATTGTCCGGACCTGGGAAGGGTGACTGAGAGGGCTGAAGGAGACACGGGGGTACTCCAGACCGCGTTGCTCCTCGGGTCCTCCAGCCCCCTTGTGAATTCAGGCGGAGACCCCAGCCTCTTACCTTCTGGAAGAACTCATCGTCCGGGTTCCCCAGCCGTGGTGTGCCCGGGTGTACCACCAGTGCGACCCGCTCCTTGTCCTCATCATCCGAGGTGTCATGCGCCTGTCAGGGCCGGGGTCATTGTCATTCACTTCCTTGCTGTCGCTCTCTCCCAGCAGAACTCACGGGCTTCCTGGTCTTCCTCGCTCTCAGCCACCCCTCCCTGCCCCGAAGACCGGGAATCCTGCATTCCAGTCAGACCCCACCCAGTCCTCCCATCCCAACCCTGCTGCCCCAAATTCTCACCTGCTTCAGCTCATGGGTCCTGTCCCGCATGGCGGCCCGATCTCCCTCTCCCTAGCGCCTCAGCCCCCAGGGCCTAAAGATTTTAAGTCTGGAACTCCTGTACCCCACTCACACCCTCCCCTCCGCCCTCCCCCTTCGGACCCTAAAACCCCTCGTGAGCCGTCAGAGGTTCTGTCCCTGACACCATCCGCAGTCAATGGGAAGGATCCGAACACAGGGACCCCCAGGGTTCCACAGGTTAGAATTCCCTTTTCTTTCCCCCCCTCCCGCTCCCTCAGCCTCGGCCCCGCCCACTCTAGGATGACTCAGGGCATGCGCACCAGGTTGCATCTCTTCCCCCGGCGGGAGGGAAAGGCGGAGGTCGGAAGCTGCAGCGCCCCGAACGGAAGCACAACTGCCAGGATGGGAGAGCCTGTCCCGTTTACCGGAACTGCCTCATCTTCCAACGGAAATCTTGTTGCCAAAAGGGGAGGGAATGCGTCGTTCGTACGTAATCTGAGACGCCCAGCATCTCGCATCACCCCATGGTGCCCCGCCCCGCGTCACGTGACCGGCCCGGGGTCAGCCTCTCCGACTACAGAACGTGACGCTTAGACTGTCACGAGTTACGGCTTCTGTCAACAGAACCCCACTCTGGAACACCCTTCTCCTTACAATGTCTCCGGTACCCCGGCATCTGAGCTACGGCCCTCTAGCTCCCGCGAGGCGGGAAAGGAGCGCCGACTATCCCCAGAGACCTTTTGAGGCAGTGGGTGGTAGGACCCTTGATGAATTTGGCTCTATTTCTTTTGAGTCCAGGGACAAGGGCAGACTGATGACTTAGAATTTGGGACTGACAGCATCGTTGGGACCTTGAAATTCATAAAATAATGAGATCCAGTGTCAGAGAATTGCAGGGTTTGAAGAAAGAGAATGGGGGGTGGGAAGTGACCTCACCCAAGGCAGAAATCTCTTCTCCCGCATTCTCCTGGTGCAGCCTCTGACATGCGGGAGGCAGGCGCCCAGCTTGAACACTGTAGTCTGGAGCTGCACTCACCACCTTCTGAACAGCGAGACCATTTTAGGACAGCTCAGGCTGAGAAAAGTGTCTATTATATTGAGCAGTTTGTCTTGCACTTGGGTCTAGCTTCTGGAGAACACACACGCGCACACACACACCCCACCCCACCCCACCCCCCGCATGCATTCTACATTAGAATGGACTGTGAGCTCCTGAAGTCAGTGCATGATTGTTTCGTTCCTACCTGAATCCCCAGCACCTAGTTGCATACCTAGCACATAATGGGCCCTCAATAAATATTTGTGGACAGAATTTAGCCTTTTATGTGTCTGAAGATAAAGCTTATGGTTCCTTGATCTTTTCTTTTAGGCTTCAGGCACTGACAGTGACACTTTTCTAACTCTGGCCCTCTAGATGTTCATTCAATAGGTATTTATTGGGCACTTAATATGGGCAAGACACTGTTCTAGGTGCCAGATATACATCAGGGCCTAACAGATTAAAATGCCTTGCACTTGTGGAAATTGCATTCAATAGGAAGAGTTCCCAAGGCCACCGATTGAGTCTCAGCATACGAGGAATGAATATCGGGTCCCCGGGATCACAGGGCTTTTTCCAGGGAGCTCCTATGAAGTTTCAAGCAAGGAAAAGAATGGTGCCTCTCTAGTATGCCCTGGTAAGGAAACCTAGATTCCTATGACTGAGTTGCTGTGGACTTCTGGAAAGTCACTTGTCTTTGGTCTCAATCTTCTATCTATACAATGGGTGGCAGTAACAGGGTGGGGAGATAATCTTTATAGGTATTCCCTGCTGCGAAGTTCAATGATTATAAGGATGGAAACTGTGTAATATATATGAGGGACTTTGATCTTTCTCTCCCCTTTAGAACCTAGCTCACCTAGTGTCAGGAATGAGGGGATGAGGATACTGGTGCTTTGGTTAACCCACAAGGGAAATGGAGGGTTGGAGGGCTTTTCAGGAGGCCAAGCCCTGCCCCAAGGGATCCCCTGGAGATCATGAAGAAGGATTTCTCTGCTCTTGGGTCTTCTGTATCAGCCTTTGCCTGCCTCCCCACCCCTGCCCCCTTTGTCTCCTTCATATTCTGTTTCTCTGAATAGTACAGTGGAAGGAATTTGGGACATCTGACTCCTAGGCCTGGGTATGATCTTAAATAATTCATTGCTCCTCTCTGGGACTCAATTTCTCCATTGCCCAACTTGATCTGGTAATTTCTGCCTTGCCTAGGGTAAAAACTGAACAATATCAAGTGAGGTTAGGAAAGATGTGGAAGAGTCTTGTGAAATGTTGGGGGGTCCCCTTCTGTGGGCTTTTACTGCTATGGGTTGAACTGTCTCTGGGTCCTACCTGCTTCTTATCTGCTTCTCAGCCTTTTGACAACTTGCCTTCTTGGTTCACAGCTCTGATTTGGAGTTACTGTTGCCTTTGTTAAATTGTCCGGGATTATGATAGTCATTATTTTATTTGTGGTTTCTGGGTGGGATCAAGGGATTGTGACTTAAGGTCCCAGGAGGCTGGGTTCATAGCCTTGTAGTATGGGATGTGGAGGGGATGGGGATCAGAAGCCACCTAGGGAAAATGGCTCTGGGGATGGGGTTCTGCAGAGCCGAATTCTTATCTCTGTTTCATGGTCCTTTGTTACTCAGGCCCTCTGAGCAGGCTTGATATGTGTAATAAGTGTATTGGGTCTTGGATGTGTAGGTGCTGGTGGTGTATGTATATTTTTCTTTTAGTCTGTGTGAAGGTCAGGCCCTACATGGTCCTGAGGCTTGGCAGCCTTCCCTGTCTCTTCCACTTGCAGGTCCATCCTACCAACACTGGAGCTAGATGACCTGGCTTGGAATCCCTGCTTGTTCACTTACTGCATAATTCTATAAGGCAAATTACTTAACCTCTCGATGCCTCAGTGTCCTCATTTGAAAAGGGAACAATAACAGTACCAACCTCATAGAGCTGCTGTGAGGATTAAGTGAATAGGACAATGCTTCATATAATGTAAGTGCTATATAAGTGTTTGCTGCTATTATATGATGGTATGATGATGATTGTTACTCTGAGAGTGTCAGCAGCCCCAGCATCTCCGTCTGGGATCCCACTCTACTGCTTGTCCAGAGTCTCTTTCCCCTTTCCAACTCCTGAGGTCCAGGTCCTAGGCTAATAACCAGGTCCTAGGCTAGTGACCTTACCAACTCCTGTGGATCTCTGATATCTCCACATAGATCTGACACACCATACATTTTGCTTATTTATTTTATATATTGTCTTTCTTTACCCTTCCTCTCTACCCTACTAGAATGTAAGCTCCATGAAGGCAGGGATTTCCACCTGTGTTATTCACTGCTGTGTCCTCAACACCTACAACAATGCCTGGCATATAGTAGCTGGTCAATAAATATTCATAAATGAATGAAATTATTTTTTAATTTAAAATTTATATAGCATTTACTATATGCCAGGCACCAAAATACGATTCTAAATTTGGCCACTTCATAAATATCTACTCATTTAATCTTCATCAATTCTGTGAGATAGGTACTATTATTGTCCTCATTTTACAGAGGAAGAACTGAAACACAGAGACAATGAGTAACTTGCCCAAAGTTACACACTAGTAAATGAGAGAGCCAGGATTTGAACAGAAAGTGAAGCTCCATAGTCTGTACTCTTAACTACTATACTATATAACCCAAGGAAAACACCAGCCAAGACTGGCTCCTAGTGTTCCACTCACCTCTGGGGACTTGCTGCCACCTACTAATTCCCTGCTTTGAATCAGACTGCCTGCAAGACTGAGCATTCTCCCCCTACCCCTGTAACAGGGGCTCTCTTCCACACTTGCTGGGTTGGGGATGACAGCTGGGGAGGTTGTTGGTCTTCTTCCCTCTCCAGATTTGCTGTGTCCCCAGGAGGCAAAGATATCTATGCATGTCTCAAGCAAAGGGCCTCTGTTCATCCTACAAATGTCTATTGAGGCTGTTTTTGTACCAAGCCCCAAGAGCCACAGAGATGAAGCCCCACAACTCTCTCCTCATGATATGTTTTGGGCCGGCCTTGATCACTCCCTAGAGCTCCATCTGAGAACCTATCCTCTTAAAACTCCATACATATTTGCATGGCTATAACTGGCATCCATGTGCTGGCTCCCAAATCCATATCTCCAGCCCAAAATTTTCTCCTAATCTCCAGACTTCAGAGCCCACTTTTCTCCTGGACATTCCCTTCTAGAGGTCTCACAGACATCTTGAACTCAATGTGTGCCAAACAAGATGCATCATTCCCTACCCCCTGAAAATCTCCTAAACCAGCTTCTGATCCTCCTGTTTCCTCGCCACATGGGTGACACAAGGTCACCCATGCCACAACCTTGGCCTTTGTTTTAAAGGCGATGGATCATACAATTTGTCAGGATAAACTCTATAAAAATTCTAGAAGAAAATATGGAGTGAGAAAGGCCTTTCCAACTACAACTCAACATTGAGAAGCTATAAAATAAAAGGTCTACATTTGTCTACATGAAAAAATTATGCATGGCCAAAACATTGAAACAAAATAAAAGACAAACAACTGGAAAAAAATATTTGCAATCTAATCATATACAAAGGGCTAATATCCATACTACTTAAAGAGCTCCCACATATTGATAAGAAAGACCAAAAGTTCAATTTAAAATGTAAAAAACATGAAAAAAATCACAAAAAAGAAAATGCATAAAGACTTAAACACATATGCAGATGTTCAGCTTCACACAATAAGATAAATGAAAATTAAGACTATTAAAATAACATTTTTTATTGCATTAGTAAAAATCCATATGTTTGTTAAAACACTCTTGTGGCAAGACTCGGGGTGGGGAACAGGGACTTTCACCATTGTTGGCGGGAATGCAAAATTATACAACCCAGGCAATATTTATCAAAATTATAAATGTATATGCACTTGGAACCAGCAACCCCACTTCTGAATCTATCTGAAAGGTTTTCCTCCTGTATCAGCTACTACTTCATAAGAAACCACCTCAATATTTACTGGTTTAAAAAAACTATGATTTATTATTTCTCCAGATTCTGTGGATGGCTGGGTGGCTTTTCTACTGGTCTTAGATTACTCAAGTGGTGACAGCTGACACTTCTGCTGGAGCTGATGGCCCACGATGGCCTCTCTTACACTCTCGTGTCTGGGACTTTGGCTCTGATGACTAGGTGGGATGGGATAGCTGAGCTACTCTTCATGTGGTGTTTCACCCTGGGTTTCTTCGTAGCATAGTGGCCCCAGGATTCTAAGAGGGTAAGAGTAGAAACAAAAGCTGCAAAGTCTCTTGAGGCACTGCTCAGAAGTTACACAACAGTACTGCCATATTTTATCAGTCAAAGCAAGTCAAAAGTCCATACCAGCTGCAAAGGGTAGAGAAATAAAATTTTAATTCACATATATGAAATGACACATCAATGTTCTTCACTGATGTGCTTCATGGATATTATCTGCAATAGATCAGAAACTTGTCTATCAGCAGATATGCAACTGTTAAAAAGAATGAAGATGTCCATTATGTATAAATATGAAGCACTTCAAAATATATTGTTAAATATCAAGGTGTGGAATGAATGTATTGTATAAGAAAAAATGTGTGTGTGTGTTCTTTATCATAAATTTGCATATTTATTACAACAATTATATGACAGATAGAAGTAGAGTATCATGAGAAAGGGACACCTGTTTCTATTTGCACAAATGTAGAGTAAGTGTTGGCAATAGTCCTGGCCATGTGAACGTTGTTTGGCAGATCAGCTAAAAATCACCCCAGGTCAAAAATAATGAGGCCTGTGCTGAGGCCTGGAGGAACAACCACTAAAGAGAAAGGGTCTGTCAGACACAGTTGCAGATTGGAAGGGGTGGTGAGGGAGTGGGAGGGTCCTAGATCACTCCTGGGTCTCTGGCTCTGGCTGTATGTGGAGGCAAGTTTGCTGGAATAAGAGAAATATCTTAAATTGCCTTTATAAATCACAGCAACTGACTTTTAGGAAATGTGAAAATACTATTTATAGAAATATAAAGTATCTTAATAAATTTTTTAAAATATGTTAATATCCTTCATGAGAGAAAAATTTTTTAATTTTATTGAAAGACTTTAAAGAGGTCTTAAATTAATGGTTAGCTATACCATGTAAATGCACAGGACACTCAATATTGTAATGACATCAGTTCTCCCAAAATATTTCTACAAAGTCACCACCACGATCCAGTCTTCGCTGCATTACATTGACTCTGGTTTTAGTGGAGAGAAGGGCTGGAATGAGCCTCCCAGGAGGCAGATATTAGTTGACTAGGAGAATGTTTCAATAGTTCAGGATTTCTGCCTGGATTGGATTCCAGCTCCTGCCTTGAGTAAGCTACTTAAACTCTTTGTGCTTGAGTTTCCTTAACAATAAACTGAGATAATAGTAATCCTAGATGGTTGTTGTGAAAATTAAATGAATTAATACATATAAAACACTTAAAACAGAGCTTGGCACATGATAAATACTATATAAGAATAATATATTCTTTTTAACAACTGCATACCTGCTAATGGACAAGTTTCTGATCTATTGCAGATTATAGCTATTATTATAACTGTTAATATTCACTTTACAGGTTGATGATGATTTAAGGGGGAAGTGGAAATAGTGAGGAGAAAGATGTGCTACCAAATTCCAGGTGCCTGATGAATAAAACCTGAAAACTGGATGTGAGGGATGGAGGAGCAGGATATAATTATTTAAAATAGGTAATATTTTCACCAGAATAACAGTGCTCATTTGCATCTGCTTAAATTGAGATTTTCAAGTTATAAATGGCGTTCTCAGTAAATCCTCACACTGTGCCTGAGGGGTGAGTAATATAGCTTATTTTATAGATTTGGAAATTAGGGCTCAGAGAAATTAGGTAGCTGGCTCCACAGGGTCGGGTTGATGTTTGTTTTCCACACTATTGTGTCTTTAGCACCATAGAATAGTCCTCGTACAAAGAGTAGAGTCTTAGTAAATACTTAGTGGTAAATGGGTGAAGAGGTCAAACTGGTATGCATTTATTTGTTTCTGAGCACAGCAGATGTGATAGGTCTTGTGCCAGGCACCATGGGGAGGCAGAGATTAATCAGATAGGATCCTTGAATATGAAGCACTTGGTGTCCAGCATGTTGATAAGCTGTGTATAAATTTCTCCACCTGAAGCGCTGAGTCTTCTTTGAAGGACAGATGCTCTGGGAAGTAACCCGAATCTGTTGCAAAAATAGAGCTTTGTTGTATTAAGTCACTAAGATTTGGGGGATATTTCTCACACAGCATAACCTAGCCTTACTTAGCCTTGCCTACCTGATAAACAGTGGCTCCCAGACTTGACTGAAAATAAGAATTGCCAGAGGTAACTGTAAAAAATTCAGGGCCCTAACCCAGATTCCTGAATCAGTATTTCTAGGGTAGAGGCCGGGTAACTTATATATTTAACAGGCTTTCTCTCCAGCTTCAGGAGGGTCAAAAAAGACTCCAACAGCTACACTTTGAAAGAAAGGTAGAGGTAGCTTTGAGAGGATAGGGTATTCTAGGGATCAGGAATGACATGAGGAAACACGTGGAGGTGGGAAAAATGTAGGGAATCACTTGAGACTGGAATCAGAGTACATGAAAGATGAGGTATGCTAAAGTGGGAAGTCAGGTTAAGTCTGAGCAATGCGGAACCAGAGAGGTTTTCTGAGCAGGGGTTGGCCTGGTTCTACTGATGCTTTGTAATGAACATCTACTTTGTGCCCAGACGTGAGTCAGACCCAGTCTGGTCTAGTGGAGGAGCAGACTTAGCCCTTACCTCATAAGACTGTCTGCCTGGACTGCTGGGAGGGGCCAGAACTGGGCCTTGAAG